TGCCTCTCCAGACAGCGCCGAGCCGCTCAGAGTCCGGCGCGGGCTCGGGGGTCTAAGGCGGCAGCTGCGGAGTCTGGACAGGCTGCCGGCTGTCCGCACGGCAGGGCGCTCCGGGGCCTGGCCCGCCCGAGGCCCCGGCTGGCCGCAGAGGGCAGGGGCCGACGACCAGGCCTGACTTTAGTTCTAGCTTGACTTGAAAATAAAAAAGGAAAACCAAAAGCAGTCCACGGAACCGTCCCCGGTGGTGCGGGACTCGAGCTCTAGGAGGGAGGCGGACCGCGGACGCGTTACCTCAGTACAGGCTAGTGCACTGCGCGCTAGCCCAGGGAGCCGCTGGTCTCGGAGGTTCTGTGGGCGCACAACGTCTGTCCTCCGAGGGCTGCAGCTTCATAGGCTAGCAGAGAACGCTCAGAACTCGTGAGGCAGGCAGAGCTAGCTAACCAGCCCAGTCTGTGGTCAGGGCACTGCGCTGTCCCTCTCTGCCCTGCTGCTAGGCTAAGGCCATCCGGTCAGGTGTCCAAGCGCTGGCTGTCCCTGCTCAGGTGCCCGCCCCATCGAGCCCTCCGGCGGCTGCCATCACCAGAGGCACCAGGGCGCTCTGCGGGCTGAGCTGCTCCTCCCGTCACCCACCTGGCTCTCCTAACGGGAGGTGGCTTTCAGCTGTCCACAAGGCCCGACTGGGTCATTTTACCCTGCCTTCCTCCTCTAGCTCCCTTCAGGCCTCAGCTAGGGCCCGCAGACCTATGCGCGCTGTGCTCCAGCTGCTCTGTGCTTGCTCAGGTCTGACTGCGAGAGCCGCAGCACAGCGTGTGTTGTGCAATGAAAGGGAAATTGTCAGAGCAAGGTTCGTTTCACACGGTCTTTTAATCGGCTTCGTAAAGCCAAAGAAAACTGCGTACAAGAATTCCTTAGCCACTGCAAATACAACATCGATGGAGTATGCATACGTCTTCCAGTAAAAAAGGACAATATAAATAAACATCTTCAAGAACCTCTGCAGGGACGTCTGCACCTCTACTGTGGGGCACACACAGCACAGATGAGCGTGCAGGCGGGGCTCCAGGGCAGCCTGTGCAGCCGCCCGGAGCAGTGTCCTATCACGCTACACTCAGAAACGTTACACAGAGTTGGAAAAGCCACAGCTTGCTCAGCTTCCGACAGAGAGCGGAGTCAGAGTCCACGTGATCTCAGAGAAGTGATGGGGCACCCAACTTCGACGGGTGACCCCACTAAAAACAAAAAAAGCAACACAACCAAAAAAATCCAAAACCAAAAAAACCAGTAACCAACAACCCACACAACAGGGCCGGGGTGTGGCTCAGTGGTAGAGCACTTGCCTTGCATGCATGAGGCTCTGGGTTCCAACCCCAGCACTGCAAAAACAAAAACCACACAACCCCTGCAAGTGTTTTTTAAAAACCCATGGCTCATGGTAAAAAATAAAATCTGAAGTGCTTTTCAAAACGTTTTTAAAACCTTTAAAAACGGACAGCGCTTCCTTAAAAAAGAAAAGTCTAGTAATGAGGCCATCTTGGGGGTCAGAAGCAGTCAGGCTGGGTTGACAAGATCAGAACTGAAATGACTACAAAAGTGGGCATACAAGGAGGTGTGTTCACTACACATTAACGATTCAGCGAAGCTCCCAAAATCTTTAAATACACAGCCATTGGAAGGACGATCTTGAGCAGGAAGGATTTTTACTCGTTGTGTGTAGCTGAGGACAAGAAGCAGGCACAGTGTAAAGGCGCTGAAGCACGCAGCAAGATGCAGCATCCACTCCCATCCAGACCGGAGGGCCTCGGGAGCAACCACCCCCCACAGCCAGGGGAGGGAGGCCGCAGCGGCACACATGCACCTATGCTGGACTGGACTGCACTGCACGGCGGCTCCCTCACACTCCCTTTCCTTTGGTCACTGACTGGTTTTTGCAGTAGAAACAGCTGAAAGGACACCTTACGGGCAAGCAGAGTGACAAGGTCTGAGCATGGAGCCTAATTGGAGGGCGCCAGGGTTTACTGAGCTCCCACCACAGTCACAGAGTGTGGCACCCTTGGAGCGAGACTTACCGTAACTGTCATAGCTGTCTCTGTAGGAACCGCCTGAGCTCCGGTCACCGTAGCCACCACCCTGACTCCGACTGTGGGGAAGAGATACATGGGTGCTAAAGGACACCTGGACTACTTAAGCTCAAGCCTATACCGATAGAGCTCCAGCTCTCAAACCAGCTGCCCATGGTAGGAGAAGCAGAGCAAACTTGGTTATTGTCAAAAATTGCCATCTCAGGGCTGAGGTTAGCGCTTGCCTTGCTCTGGGTTCCATCACTAACATAAGAAAAATAAAAGACAAAACAAAAACAAAAAACCCCTGCTACCAGCCATACTCCCTGGGCCTCCCACTTCATGATCTGAGCACTCCTTCCACTCCTGCTTCTGCCACTTCCTCTCCTCTCCTGTCTGCCAGCCTGCCAGCTTTTGCCATGCCACGTGGGGAGCACCCTCCCCAGGACCAACCCTCAACAGCCTCCCTTAAGCCCAGCCAGGCTCTGCACCTCCTCACCTGCTGTAGTAGTCTCTGGAGCCTCCGTAGCCCCCACTCCGGGACTCAAACCGGCCACCCCCATAGCCTCTGTCCCCTCCCCCTGTAGAAGACAAACAGAACCAAAAAGAGGATTAGCACCGCTCACACCAGCCGCACTCCACTGGGCCCCCGCACTGCCACACTCACCTCTGGAGAACCCACGGCCCCGGCCCCGGCCCCCACGGAAGAAGCCCCGGCCTCCAGTAGAGCCACCTCGGTACCCTCGGGATCGGTTGTCAGATGACTTGCCGGCCTGGTCAACTCGGATCTGCCGCCCGTCCACAGACTGGAGAGCAGAGGGTAGCGCAGTCAACCCCTGTGCCTGGCACCTTGGGAAACAGCACTCCCACTCGGCCCGTGGACCGCAGAGGCCAGCCCTCACCTTCCCATTCATGGCCATCATGGCGTCCTTGGCATCATCGATGTTCTCAAAGGTGACAAAGCCAAAGCCTCGCGATCGCTGGGTCTCCCTGTCTTTCACCACCACCACTGGGCAGGAGAGAAGAGCTGGTCAGAGCCCAGCAGGCACAGGCGGGGCCAGCAGCCCGCCGCTCGGCCCGCTTACCTTCCGAGATCTGTCCGTACTTCGAGAAGACCTGCTCCAGCGACTGCTCGTTGGTGTCAAAACTGAGCCCGCCCACGAAAAGTTTGCCTTCGTCCGACGCCATGGCGGCCTGCGGCACAACCAGAACCTTTCAAAGCGTCGCTCGCGGCTCCCTTTCCTCTCGCGCACCGCCGACCCGCCCTCCGGGAGCTCCCCGGCCCCCTCGGCTCGGCGGCCCCACACCGGGCCGCGGCCCGCCCCCTCGGGGCCAGCGCCACCCACCGGCCGCGCCGCGGGCGGGGCCTCCCGCCTACCGAGCGGGGCTGGGCGGCGCTCGGCCGCGCCCCGCGCCGCGGGCGAATTCCCACCCTGGCCACGGCCTGTCTGCCGACTGAGGGGCCGGACTGGAAGGTGCTTTCGATCACTGTACGACGCCCCGAGGGTGCCGTCTTGGAGGCCGCCCCGCTCTGGGGCGGAGTCTCGGCTTTCGGGGAACGCGGCTACTTAGAGGGGCGGGGCATGTCGACTTGGACAAAGCATTTATTGGCTGGGGACGACCACTGCCCAAAGGTCCAGAAACGAGGAGCGGGACTCATAGGCCGCGCCAGGGGCTGTCGCCTCACACACACACTGAGCGCGCCCGGCCTGGCGTCCTTTTAAATGTGCTACCACATGGGGAGAGGAAAACAGAGGCTCTTGGAGCAGGAGCCACGGGGTGCGCGCCGCCCCGGCCCCACAGCCCGGGACTGGCCTCCACGCGCCCCGTGGCCCCGCCCCCTACTCAGCCCCGGCGCATGCGCCACGCGCACGCCCTGCGCCACTCCATCCGGGCACTCGGCACTCCCGCCATTTCGCTGGCGCAGCCTGGAGCTCGCGGCCGCCATTTTGAGCAGGGCCCGCCAAGCCGGGATCCCGGGTCTCAGGGGAAACGCCCTCAGGCCAACGCAGGACCCGGTCTCCCGCTGCCCCTCGCCGCCGGCGGGATGGACTCCACCCCGGGCCCGCCCCGGCACCGCCCCCTCCCAGGGGCGTGCCGCCGCGGCCCCGCTTCGCCTGGGCGTCTCAGGCCGCCCACCGCCCGGGCCCCTCGGA